CACCATGTTGGCCAGGCTGGTCTCAAACTTCTGACCTCAAGTGATCCGCCCACCTCAGCCTCACAAAGTGCTGGAATTAGAGGTATGAGCCACCGCACCTGGCTGCTTTTTTTTTTTTTTAATTATTATATATATTTTTTTTGAGACGGAGTCTTGCCCTGTCACCCAGGCTGAAGTGCAGTGGCGCAATCTCAGCACAATTCTCCTGTCTCAGCCTCCCAAGTAGCTGGGACTAAAGGTGCGCACTGCTGTGCCCCGCTAATGTTTTTTTATTTTCAGTAGAGACGAGGTTTCACCATGTTGACCAGGCTGGACTCAAACTCCTGACTCGGGTGATCTGCCCACCTCAGCCTCTCCAAGTGCTGGGATTACAGGTGTCAGCCACCACACCCAGCCAGTTATTACTTTTTTTGAATATAATTTGTTTTAGGTAGCAGTTTTAGGTTCACAGCAAAACCAAGCAGGAGGTAGAGACTTGACATGTTCCCCGCTCCCCCAGGGAAGGCCGTTTTCCAGGCTCCTCAGGAGGGAATGGACGGACCAAGCCCAGCATCCCAGAACAGGCCAAGTCACACAGGGAGTGAGCTTGAAAATCAATTTGTCTAAAAACCAAAAACATCAATTCATCAATCCACTCCTGCCTCAGTATTTGGGAAGATACAAGTTTTTAATATAATGGTTAAGCTCATTTGAATGTGCATTAGTAAAAGTATGTGCAGCATGGCCGGGCGCGGTGGCTCACCCCTGTGATCCCAGCACTTTGGGAGGCTGAGGTGGACAGATCACTTAAGGTCAGGAGTTCAAGACCAGCCTGGCCAAATGGTGAAGCCCCATCTCTACTAAAAATGCAAAAATTAGCTGAACGTGGTGGTGGGCGCCTGTAATCCCATCTACTCGGGAGGTTGAGGCTGGAGAATCGCTTGAACTCAGGAGGCAAAGGTCGCAGTGAGTCAAGATCTTGCCACTGTACTCCAACCTGGGCGACAGAGCGAGACTCGGTTTCAAAAAAAAAAGTATGTGCAACTAGCACATTAATGTCCCATGGCTTTGGGGACATTACTGTTCAGGAAGAGGCCAAGATCAAAGAGGTGAGTCATTCTACAATGGACTGCAAGAAAACTGTCTAGCAAACTGACAGGTCAGGACTCTGGTGATGGGAGGTGTGGAAGCACCACCTCTAGGGGCAGCCAAGCAACCCTGGGCAGGGACCTGCCAGAGCCCAGAGGCCAGACAGCAGCCAGGAAGACCCCATAGGTGCTGGACTGCTCCTCAGTGCAGGGGAGCTGGGGGGTTCTGTGGGGGGCTCCTCTCCTCTCAGCTGGAAGCTGCTACCCTGGCAGGGCAGAGGGACAGTCACAGAGAATCTGAACAGACAGGCAAGGAGTGTGGCCAGGGCAAATTGCAAATAGGAGCCACTCACTGTTAAACGGTGAGGCAGGAGGAGGCAAAGGGAACTGAGGCACATCAAGGTCACAGTACAATACGAGCTGCTGCAGGGCTCACAGCCAAGTCCGAGGTTCTCACTGGGGGGGCAACAATGCTTCCCAAGGGGCATTTTTGGTTGCTACAGCTTAGGGGACAGGGTGCTACTAGCCTCTGCTGGGAGGAGACTCGGGATGTTGCTCACGCCCACCCTACAGCACCCAGGACAGCCCCACCATGGAATGTCCCAGCCCAGAACCTGGAGAGGGCAGAGGTGGGGAGACCCTGACAGGACAGCAGGGCCCTGCGGTGTAATGAACCACTCAGAGCTCAGAGCTCCTGGTACTCCGTGAAGCTTCAGTGCCTTTTACCCCCTTTGATCCTCACCCAGGAGGGAGGTTTTCCCATTACACCCATTTTACAGATGAAGAAAGCAAGGCCCAGAGAGGGGAAGTGAGCACCTCAGAGGAGGGATCTGAATCTAGGTCTCTCCACCTCTGAAGCCTGTGCGAGGCATGGGATGGAGGGCAGAGACCTAGAGATGTCCAAGACCACTGGATGAGAATGGAGCCCAGGCCGGGCCCCTGCTCCCCTGTCCAGCATCCTAAGCCAGGAGCAGAGTCCCCTGGGGCAGGAAGGGGGAAGGCTACGGCGTCTGCAGGCCCCACTGAGCTGCCTCATGGCAGGTCCCTGGAGCTGAGCCAGGAGCCCAGGCCAAGGCTGTGGGCGAGGATGGGGGATGTGTCACGGCAGTGACCAGCGCGGGTTGCAGATTTGCCCCCCCAGCCCCCACCTCGTTCATCAGCTCTTGGACCCCTTCTGACCAGCGGGCTTGGAAAGATTTAGTGCTCCCTGACCTCCTTTGTTCCCAAGCAAGTGACTGGCCCAAGGTCACCCAGCTCTGACCCTCCAACTCTGCTCCCTGATCCAGGCAAGAAAGCCACCTACAAATGCTCCTGGATGGCACCTCAGGCATCTCAGCCCCCATCAGTCGTGCCTCGTCCTGCCGCTCCCTGAGCTGGGCCTGAGGGTAGCAAACAGCCTCCCACCATTCCATCTGTGACCAGACCCTGGGCAGCCAGCTTGCCCTCTCCCCCACTACACTCTAAACCCACAGGAGCCGGGGACTCCTCCCAACCTGTCCCTCCAAGGCACTCAGCACTTGAAAGGCAACAGCCCGAGGCCAGGCGAGTGTATGACCCCAGCGCCCATCCCCACAGGGGTCAGACGGAACCCAGACAGAAGGGCTCCCTGGGACTGAGGTTCCTCCCCAGCTCATGGGGGAGTGGGTGGGGCACAGGATAAACAGGGGCAGGAAACCAGCAGAGGAGACACAGAAATTAGGAATTAAAGTACAGGCACAGTGGTCAGGTGGGAGAGAAGGACACAGGACGACCCCTGACCACTGCAGAGGGCTCCCGCAGGACGGGACAGGGACTGAGGACCGGGCAGGAGGCTGAGGAAGGGTCTCTTCCACGAGACAGAAAAGCACAACAAAGCCGGGCAGGGAGCTGTGCGGTGGCTGGCCAGCTATACCTTCAAGCACCAGCAGTTAGCGTCATCTTAGCAGCCCCCTCCCCAAAGAGGAAAGGGTTCGAAAATGCGAGCAAATCAATTGTTACTGAGACATGCATATTTCAAGTCTCAGCAACCACATACACACACACACACACACACACACACACACACACACACACACACACACACGTGCACACGCAGGCACCCGCAGCTCCAGACACAGGACAGCCTGTACACCAACATCCATCTGCGCAGCAGAATCTCTATAGCCCCCTTTTCTCCCCCAGCGGCGATCTCCTCCAGGCCAGGACAGTCTGACCCGTCCTGGTGTCCCTGGCTCAAGGAGGGGGAGCGCCCAGACCTGCCAGGTGTCCAATCAGACACACAGAGACCGAGATGGGGCTGGCAAGTCCCAGAAATCCTCAGCTCAGATAATCAGAAGTTGACTCTACCACCGCTTCACGCTCCGACCTTCAGGGTTTCAAAAAATAAAATGCAAAGAGGAGAGAGGCTGCCCACTGCTTCAGCAGGGGCTGCAGGAGAAGGCTGACCCCGTGTGTTGACAAACTCTCCTGGTGGCTCATAAGGAAGCTATTATCAGGGAATTAGGGGAGTCATCAGCTCTTGCTCGGCTGTGATAAAAGCCCATAGGAGTCGTCTAACGAGCCCACTTTAGGACTGGGGCTGATTTTAGGAGCATTCTCCAGCCAGGGAGCATTCCGATAAATGGCCATTGAGGCAGAGGGTGGGGCAGGGCACCTATCCCTTAAATTCAGCCCAGTATCCAGAGACCCCAAAACAGTACGGGCCCCTGGTGGGACCCAAATCAACTTGCTGTAATACATGCCCCCCAGCCAGAAACACATGGAAAAAGATGCTCTTCACATATGACAGGATCACTGGGCTCCACGGAGCTGAACCACCTTCTCACTAGTTTCACAACTCGGGAAACACTTCCCCACAAGGTGCTGGCGGATTATTAAAACAAAAGCATCCTCCCCCAAGCAAACACATAGGATACACCCAAAAGCAGTCCGTGCCTCCACGGGCCCCGGGGTGGGGGTGGGGGGGAACAGGCCCCTTAAAACCTTCCACTGTCCCTAGGTGGACAGAAACCCCGTCCTGCCTGATGTCATGGCCACCATTGAGCGGAGACCCCGGGCCCTGGCAAAACCCAGGTCAAGCAGATTTCAGAGCGAGCCCGTCCCCAGCTCCCAAAGGGACGTCCACGGGGGACGCATGAAAGGGGTCTCCGCGGAAGCAACTCCTCAATTCATTTCTATAGAGCAGGGGGCTTCGTTCGAGATGGCGATCAGGCTGGAACGGGGAGGGACGGGGAGACTCGTGGAGGCTGCCACCGCATAGCAAGATGATTCTTTTTTCTAAAATCCAGATTGCATATGCTTATGGGGATGGGAGGTTTCGGGGACGCTGAGGGGGGCAAGTTTGGAAGCCACCAATCCACCAATCCACCAGCAGGTTGATCGGGGGTGGGGGCAGTGCAGGAGGAATGATAGGCATTTAGGGGGCACCCCTGGGCGTCCGGCGGGGGAGCTTCCACTTAGCCCCTCTGGTGCCCCAAGGGCCAGAAACGCAGGCGGGGGTTACCCAAGGGCTGGTGTATTTTTTTTTCTTTTTCTTGCTTTCTTTAAAAAAATAATAATAATAGGCTGAGGGTTGTTCTGGGTGATAAAAGGGCCCGGCCGGGGCCACCCACGCTGTCATCTTTTGTGCGGGGCGGCGGGGCCGTCTGTGCCCAGCCCCCCGCGCGCCCCCGGCCCGGGAAGGGGCCCCCAGCTCCCGCCCCTGGGCGCGCCCCGCCATTGTCCGGCCCCGCCGCCCCCGCCCGAAAGCCCGCGGGCGCCCCCGGCCCGGGCGGTTAACGCCCCCAACCGCCCCGCCGGCCCGGACAAAGCGCGAGGCCCGGCCCGAACAGGCCGCGCCCGAGGCCTGGGCCTCGAGTCCCGGGCGCGCCCGCAGCCCCGCGCCACGACGCGGGGGCGGCCATGGCGGCGGGGTCCGCGCTCGGACGCGGCCGGGCGGCCTCCCCGCGGGCTCACCTGAGGCGGCGCGCGCGGCCCGGTCCGGGTGCAGCGGCGCGCGCTCCCCCGCCCTCGGCGTCGCACCCCCAGGCCCCGCTCGGGCCGGGCCCCGCTCGGTTGCTGGCGGCCGAGCCCTCCGCGAGCGCCCCGAGGGGGGGGGCTTATAAGGCCGCGCGCCAGCTCCGCCCCGGCTGCCATTGGCTGCCGGACCCACGCCCGCACGCCCATTGGCCAGCGCTGACAGCGCCGCCCCTCCCCTCAGCCGGGCCCATCAACACCGTACGGCCCGCCCTCCGCGCTCCGCGATTGGGCGGGAGCAAACGCCGGCCTCGCCTCTTCATTGGCAGACCGGCTTGGACACGCCGGCGCCCACCCACGTGCCCGCTGACCGGCTCCGTTCTCATTGGAGGCAGTGCACGCCAGCCAAGTCGCCCGCGACCAACCCGACGGCGGCTGGGCCTCGGATTGACAAGGGACCCTCGGGGCCCGCCCAACGACTGCACAGAGAGGAGCAAGTATTGGCTTGCGGGGTCAGCCCAAGGCGCGGACAGGCTGGGGCCGGTGCCAATCACTGCCCCCAGCTCCGGGCCCCGCCCTGGTTATCAGGCGGCTGCTGAGTACGTGAGACCCAGCACAGCTTCAGCACCGGCCGGTGACGTGGGGGCTGGAAGTTCGAGACCCGTGGCCGGAATGTGGGCGTAGCGTTCCCCAATTTGCAAACTGCCAAGCAAGGAGACGTAGCAATCTGTTTTGCAGAGGAGGAGAACCCAGAACAGGATAAATATAGGGTAAAGCAGAAAGCGCTTCCGCCCCGCTCCCACCGGCAATCCATCACAATCAAGAAGCCTTTGCCAAGGGGCAAGGCCTTCCTAATAAAGTTAGGGTTTCTCTCCCAGAGTTCTCTAAAATGTGTGGGAGAGAACGAGCTTCAGTGCTTTCTGAGCTGGGTTCAAAGCTGAGCCGGGACCTATGCCTCACTGTGGTTGCCCTCTAGCAAAGCAACCTCGCTGAGCCTCAGTTGCCAATTGTGCAATGGATATGATGATGGTAGCCATACCCAATCTACCCGACTCTTGAGAATGTTGCAAGAATTAAGGGGGACGAGGCAGGTAGAAAGGTTTGACGCTGTGACTTCACAAAATGGGCATTCATTATGTACTGGACCATGCAGGGGTGTGGGCACGCCCCCATTTGGACTGGCAGGAGTGTAAATTGGACAATTTGACATTTTCTAATAACATTGTAAGTGCATGCACCCTATAACCAGCCAGTTCTTCCTGGAGGTGATAAACCCAGAGAAAAGGTCTGGAGCTTACACACAATTCAAGATGCCCACGGCTATCTGCAACTGTTTCCAATGTTTTGCACTAAGTATCTATCAGTGGGGGATTAGAGAAGTAACTTAATAGCAATCAGTACTATGTAGCAATTGAAAAGGTGCTGGGCCAGGCGGCTCAGGCTGTAATCCGAGCCCTTTGGAAGGCCAAGTTGGGCGGATCACCTGAAGTCAGTTCAGGACCAGCCTGGCCAACATGGCAAAACCCTGTCTCTACTAAAAAATACAAAATTAGCCAGGCATGGTGCCACATGCCTGTAATCCCAATTACTCAGGAGGCTGAGGCAGGAGAATTGCTTGAACCTGGGAGGCAGAGGTTGCCATGAGCCAAGATCACGCCACTCCACTTCAGCTTGGGCGACAGATCAAGATTCTATAAAAAAAAAAAAAAAAAGAAAGAAAGAAAGAAAAGGAAGCTGATCTATATGCAGTCATGAAATATCTCCCACTTGCTGAGCAAGGGACAGTGGGTCCAGAATCCTGTACTCAATAACATATATATGGAAACACAGAGAAACTGGTATCACGAGGTTTTTAAGAGCATGTATGCTTGTCAACACCCAGAAAAAGGTACTCCTAAACCAAAGAAACTCACTAACTCCTTGGGGAGAGAAGCAGTTGCATGTTGGTAAAAAGTGAAGTCAAAGGGGAACTGAGGCCGTCATGGGTGTTTTCTATTCTCATGGGACCATATCCATATATTCTACATGGAGTTAAGATTTAATTTTAGGTCACGCCTGGAATCCCACACTTTGGGAGGCTGAAGCAGGCAGATCGCTTGGGCTCAAGAGTTAGCAACCAGCCTAGGCAAAAAAAAACTACAAAAATTACCTGGACATGGTGACACACATCTGTAATCCCAGCTATTCAGGAGGCTGTGGCAACAGGATCACCTGAGCCCAGGGAGGTGGAGGCTGCAGTGAGCCGTGATTGCGCCACTGCACTCCAGCCTGGGTGACAGAGTCAGACCCTGTCTCAAAATAAAAAGTAAAAATTAAAATTTAAAAAAAGATTCGGTGCTGTGGCTCACACCTGTAATCTCAGCCCATCAGTGGCCAAGCTGGGAGGATCACTTGATCTCAGCAGTTTCAGGCCAGCCTGGGCAATGTAGCAAGACCCCTACTAAAAATAAAAAATTAAGGCCGGGCGTGGTGGCTCACGCCTGTAATCCCAGCACTTTAGGAGGCCGAGGCGGGTGGATCACAAGGTCAAGAGATCGAGACCATCCTGGTCAACAAGGTGAAACCGCGTCTCTACTAAAAATACAAAAATTAGCTGGG